TATCAAGTTTTATCTTAGTAAAATTAAGATGATAATAATCATTTGTTACTCGGATAATTATCAAAAATAGAAAGGTAAAAAAAGAAATTTTAAGGATTCATTGTGTGAGGATTTTTTTTCATCGATGAAAGTTTGAATTAGAAATCATTTTTGAGGATTGATGAGTGTTAGGATTGAGTAAAAAGAGGAAAAAATATATGAGTTGTTTGAAACACAAACATGTAGATGTAACTTTATCTTTTAAAATCATGAAGAGATATCAAAAAGCCATCTGATGTAAACCTGAATGAAAGGCAGTTTGAAGAACATAAGTTGGCTTCTAGAGTACTTACACATGAATGCAAACCTTTTAAGATTATCAATTTTTGAGCCAAACAGCATTGTTGCAAGTATTAGACGAGCTACTTTTTATGGTTTACATTTTGTATTCTTCATCTAATACTGAAAAATTAAAATGAGTATGTGAGATGAGTGATTTTCAAAAGATTGTGTTGAACTACCAATTTTATTTTTAACATGAAATGATTATTACTGGAAAATTGTGTTAGATTTTACTGTAACATCATAATTTTAATGTGTTCATAAATAATATCAGATGAAAAAAATTTGATTTTATTTGAAACATCTATTATTATTGAAGTTTTCTAAAATCTCCATGATTCAATAATAAAATATCGATGAGTTCATGATTTGATGAAGATGTACTACTTTCAATTCCGTTTTGAGTTGTGTTTGAAAATACAAGTGAAAAATTTTATGTCTAGTAAAGCAATCCATATTGACCAAGCTCAAATATCAAGGAAAGTTTTCTTGCATATCGATTCCAAATATCAATCTTGTGGTTTAAACGCAACAAATCATTTTATATTGTTCAAAAAAGCAAATAAGTTGATAGTTTCAAAATTAGTTGCCTATTTTGGGCACTTATTTTTTGAATTTTAAAAATATAAATTTCATACATACAAAGCAAAAAACCACGTAAAGAATTTGATAAATCATCATGAAATTCAATAAAACAAGATGTGATATAATCAAAGACAATGTACATATTATCTACTATGAGAGAGACAAGTCAAAGATAAGTTGAAGTCTACGTGCCTAGACAAACATTGAGATTAAAACCGTACATCTACAATCATAAAAACTTGAAAACTTTTTGACAGTAGGTTGTGAGTTGTGTTTGTGACCTTTGATTTTGAAGCAAAGGAGCCACTATGATGAGTACATATTATTGTTTAAGGCCATTGAGCGATGATTTTATTGAAAAATAGTATTGAACAGATGTACAATTTTTTGGAAGTTAATGAGCTTGAAGATGAAAAGTACTTGCATAAAAATTTAAGAAAACATTGATGTTTTTGTTGAACTTTTCATTATTCTTTAGATCTTTTGAAATCATATAGGTAATAAAAGAAATTTATTTCATCTCTCAAACTCATTTTTGACATTTTAATAATGATGTGTATTGTGTGTTTGTCATGATCTTTAATAAAGAAGAGATTTATTCAGATGCACATTCAGATTTAATTGCATTATAATAAATTATTTATAGTGGTCACGTCAGCAATTTGTATGCTTGTTACATTAAAAATGAATGTGTTTATCATTATTTTAGTTGAAAGCAACATGTTAGCAATCCATGTGTGCTTGTTAGTTAAATCCATCATGTAATCAATCCTCTAGACTTATGATGAATGATAAACATGATATTTTATCTCTTGGTATTTGTTGATAAGATCTTTATGAAGAAAAGTGTAATCATTCTAGATATCTTTCATCTTCACAGTTGTGTTTTATCTTCAAGTTAACTATCTCTTAATTCCAAAAATTTCAATGATATCACAACTAGCTCATATATTCTAGATTCAATTAAAAGAGCAATGAGAGTGAGATACTTGTTTGATTCTTGTGAGATTTACATATGGAAAGTATGCTAATGCATTCATAAAACTTTCTTCATATTACCTCATCTCATGACTTCATCAAGTTTGATGATGTTTTTTTTTTTAAGTACCAAAGAAGTTGTAATCATTAATCTTATGAAGCATATTCACATAGATTTACTTCAAACCAAGAAAAAAATTATAGTTAAAAATTGACAAAAACAACTAGTACATGCTCATTGTAGATTATTGATCATTTAGATAGAGTATCATGTTTGATTATCTATAACAAGTTTATCTCTAATATGGAAATCAAAGTTAGTTAATTTAGTGAGTATAAAATAAAGTAGAGGTTAATTCTTATGGAGATATAATTGCATGATAATAAAATACATGTGGTTGTCATGTCAAGGATCCGTGTGCATGAAGATAAGGAGTAAGTATTTTAGTTGATAGCACATAATAAAAATTGGATATGTTAATTAATGTGTTAGTTAAGAACAACAATTCAGCTATCCATGTGCTTGCTAGGATCATTTGCCCTATCTTTAATTCACAAGGAGTGAAATGAATGAAAGAAATGAGATATTTTCTTGTACTTTTTGATAAGATAAGAATCCAAATTTTTCCTCATTGCAAGCTGTGAATCCTAGCTACCTTTATTTCTATATCACCAACCGGAATAAGTATCTCAAATCATTTGTCTTGCAAATTAACGATCAGGTTAAAGATCTCGACAAATACAGATTGGAACATAGATCAGTTCAAGTCAAGTTCAATTGATCTAGTAATACAACAGAGAGTCATTATACTTCTTACATGGTGCAAGTTTCATATCAATCAAAATCAAGCCACAAGATTGTGATAATACCACGCAATTGATTATTTTTGGACGAGCACAAACTGAAAGGAGTGCCGCTCAAGGAGAAGAAGAAAATAATCCACAGGTGTGATACAGTTTAATGAGATTCACCTCGGCCGTTCTATACCAATTCTTGCGAGGAATCACGAAAACACAAGCACAAATAGAAAAAATGCAGTCACGTCAAAACGCCAACATGCTCAGAATCTCCGACACAAAATTACGTTATTTGCCACTATTAGGATACGTCCTCAATAACAATAAAAAAGTCTTAAACTCATAAAAAAATCCTAGAATGTTTGAGGAGAGCTTTGTCTACCTGTACATAAAAAATGAACAACAAAACCTAAACCCTAACAAGAGTTTAATTAAGCTAATAACTAAAAATCTATAAAATAATATATATGATATTTTATCATATATTATATTTTCATCAAAAAATCACAATCAATTGTGTACTTTTGAAAAAAATCATTACATTTATTTAAAAAAAGGTTGTGACAATCATGTCAATATGGAATTTCATAGAACTATTTAGACTAATTTTTTTTAATACTTGGCTAGTGTCTTTTAGCATTTAAGTTTATATTCAATTTATTAGATAAAAAATATTCAGTTTTGTAATCTTTGATTTGTAATCTTTTTCAGTATAATCTTTTTGTATCTTTATCCAATTATGATCGTTGCTGTAAAGATAATAGTATCATTCGGTCGGAAGAACACTTCCACAAGAAAGAAGTTTCGAAGCTTCGACATGAAGATCTGATAGGGGAAAGTTGATCTACTTGTCTCTCATCCTACTTTTTCATCTATCGGTCGGATTTTGATGTTGTTAGTAATGGTCGAACATACGTATTTGTAATTTTGAGTTGATCAATCAACTGTTGTCAGATTTGATGAGATGGAATATTGCAATGGGAAAAATCTTATTCTTGGGTCTTAGTGCCCAATCTTAATGATGACGAAACTAGATCAGTAGAGCTTCAGCCATGAAGCACTGGCAAACGATAAAATCACAATATGTATTTGGAGAGTGGTGAGTACATCACCACTCTCCATACAAGTGCCCTTGGCTTTAAGCGCAATTTGATTAGAGCCATTTATATTTGCTATCGAACTAATTATCAGATGATCCATATGGACTTATTTGCTGGTACTTCTATTGAGTTTATAAATGAAAGCGCACCATACTCTATTTAATGTACCAGGCCTGAAGGGTCAAAAGTGGAGGATATGCTCGATGCATTATCGGACACAAATGTTGACATCCTTGTGAGTGCGGAAGAAGGTCGTTTTCTCGTCTAGCCAAGGATATGGGCGAAAATTCATTCTCTCTACATCCGTGATGTGATAGTTCACTGTTCCTGTTCTGTAGTGGCAGCTTTTGTGACAGTATCTTGCTGTTCCCATTCATGCCTGCCATGATCTCTCTGTTGACTATATTCTGATTCCCAGGAATACAGTTAGAAAACAATTGCTAAAAAAGCTGTTCAGGATTCCTCTCAGATATGTGCGCTAAAGGCAGAGAGCCTTCACAGTCGAGGACCAATCGTGTCACCCAGTTCCTTGAATCACTACAGCAGTCCCGTACATTGATAGCATGTACAGATGTTTTGTTGACGTCGATTTCTCGTCAGGCTTGACTTGACGTTGACTTAGCTATCAAGATGCCTGTTCCAAGGAGTTCACGTTGTTCTGTTCGAGAATAGTTCAGGCTCTGACCATGCTTGCAGCTAAAGAGATCACATTTCTGTCATCCAGAAAAGCCTAATATGCAGAGGACCTACTCCAATAGGTCTACATACCGCTCAGCTCCATGTAACCTGGATCGGACTAATCGGACTGCAGCCAAAAAGTGCTGCAGGTTACCCAATCACCGACATGCAGTACTGGATTTCTCTTGTGAAAAGTCACCAATTCCCCATACCCAGTCGAAACTTACATCTTAACGGGATGAGATATTCCTCAGTCAGGAAAGGCAGGAAAGAGTCTTCTGTTTCTTCCCAACCTTACGTGATATGCACTCGTGTTCGAAGATATCTTGTACTTGCAGCGTTGACTACTCTTTCAGACAGAACGTCGTACTTAGAGTAGGTGCGATTGCAGACGGGAAAGATCGCAACCGTTCTCACGTCTGTTCAGTGGATGGATGAGGTAACTTGCATGACGAGTGGAGTGCACTTTAAGAGTTAAAAACGTGTGTTCATCCTCATGACACAAGACCTTCCACTTAGGAATAACTTACAAAATGGTGTCCTGGACAAGTTCTTTCTCCAAATTCTTTACAGGCATAGTTATTTTGTGTATCCTTCTCCACCCTATCGCTAGAAAACGGAAATCTGAAACTGCTGAAATCATTTGGGCCATTGTGCAAAACATCGAGGCGTAAACATCAGCAGGAAAGCTAATTGCAGTCATAAAATGCCTTAGACAACTGATTTGAAGTGCAAGCCTTCGCTGGGCTGCACTTTCCGTTCGATGATAAATGGTTTCTATGCTACAGCTATCTTAAAGACGGCTAAGGCTTGCGAATATCACAATAGTAATTCATTTCTCAAAACTCACGCGCCGCAGAAAAGTAACGGCTTAGCAGCTGACCTGAGCAGATGGGCGACAAACAACTAGTCACTCGCTATAAAGGTGAGTAAAGGCATGCATTTCTTGAGTGAATACAAACAGAGCTCTAGATCTGAAATCTCTTAGCTATTTAACCTTACATGCGTTCATAAGGCATAAACCAATTAAAAACAACTGTCACCATGATTGTGAAGAAGATCGCGCGTGACGATTTTGGCAAGCACGTATCCGACTCCGCGATTTCGTATACTCCATCACAATTTCTCGTTGTCCGATGTCTATGACTAGCTTGAAACCAAGCAAGTGTCTTCGTCTTCGGTCAACCTTGCTGTTGGAACTGTAGCGGAAGGGTCATCCGAACGTATTCACACTCCCTCATACCATGTGTAACTGTGAAGCACAGGTTTGACCCTACAATTCTCCCCGGTGATAGATATTTCCTCGATGAACCTTGTTCATGAGCTGATTCTAGTTCTCCGTTCACATGTACCAACCGCTTCCCTTCTTCTATGGATCGACTTCCTATCTCACTCCAGATCCAGCCCTTTGTGTAGTTGAATAGGTTCCTTACATCCATGCCAATGCGTCCCAGATTCAGCAGCTGCTTTCTTCTCTTTGCTGCCAGAATGTAGGGCCATATTGGTAGGACGTTGCGGAATCTTCTAATCCGTCAAGTGTATGGTGATAAAATCTGCTTTATCTTAGTGATATAACGACACCAACTGGTAGAGAGAATAGACAGCTCCTGGAGGCTACAGTTGACTGGGAAGATGAAGTTTGGGTACACATGGGTGTTGACAGGTTTTCTTGAGAGTACCTCAGAATATCTGAAGAAACAAAAGATCGAAATAGGAACCACCAAGTAGGGTTTGAAGATTCATCCGCCATTCTGATAGAGACTACATGACTGAACACAGCAGAGTGAAGACATAGCATCCAAATCTCTTCTGTAACTTTCCGTGAGCGCTTCAGGATCCCAACGCTGAGGTGTGACCGTGCAAGTCGTACCAGAGATGACAAATGAGCTGCAAGATGGTGAGAGAGAAACGCACGCTTGCTGCAGATGCTAGAAAGATGAAGAAAAGAGACTGGTTGAAAAGACCTAAAGGTTAACTGGGCTCCATGCATACTCTGGGAGAACAAAGATTGGAAAAAACTGGTACGAAGGCCAGAGAGTAGCCCGATGAAGAACATAGAAAGAGATACCCCGGCCACATTCACGAACGTCTCATAGACTTGTCCAATCTACGGAAGACGATCCGGCTGCATCCATAGCAAAGAAACAGCCTGTAGTCCTCCATTCGCAAAAGACAACCTTTAGTTTCTCTCGTAATCAATCACTGAGAAAAGAAATAATCACGGTTTGTGGCTGTGGCCCTGGATTCACTTTTGTCCTTGCTTTGCTACTCCCTAATCAAGGACGGAACTGAACACAAAAGGTCCTCATCCAGTGCCTCGGGAATATAGTTATGAAGCTTAGAACAAGCTCTCTATACATCCCATTAGTAAGTTTCCAAGAAACATGGGCAGTGTGATATACGGGTAAATAGGATAGAGGAAGAGAACCTGGAGAGAATAAAATTCTCAGAGGTTGGCAAGTGATACTTTACTACCCGGTTCGACAACTGCTGCTTGAGGAGCTAACAATCAGGTGAACGGCGTGTGAATATTCTCTCTGGCATCCAACGTGGGCGACCGAAAATGCACCAGTAAGATCCCAGGAAGCAGAAAATGCACACAAATACCAGAAGCGTGTAAAGCATTATTCGCAACGCCTTATATTTGCTGCAAGACAAGCAGTACGCAAGAGGACAGAAAAGATGGAAAAGTCATAAGCCATGCCCAAAATGCTGCAATATCGAAAGAAACCACCTTCCAGAAAGTTCACAAAAATTTAAGAAATTAGACCACTTTTTTGTAACTGATGAGAGACAGCACAGATTTACACTCAATTATATGCTTATCGACCTGCATGACACAAGTAGCTGACATCTCGATAAATATAACTCTATAGGATCATGAACAACACCTAGTTCCCATTTGCTTGGGTCGTCTGCTTACGCTACAACTACCTCTAAGAGGAAATTCACCCGGGAACACTAATCAGCCTTATAGCCACTATGGTGCTTATCGTGTGGGATAGTATGTACAGTACATGCTCCTTGGTTTGTAAGGGAGTCCCCATGCTGAAACGATTATTCACATTCTGGAGGACGGACATTTTCCACCAGAATATGCGTGAAGGGAATGAGGCATTGGAGCTTCATCAACACAGAGGACATCTAATGACTACTACACACCACATACATATATTTGTGGCAAAGAATGGTGGTATCTTAGAACACCATAGTCTCCGGTTGTCGCGACCATTCGAAGAGAGACACAAACCTATCAAAGTTAGGCCTGACCTCTTCCACAGAGGAGGGCTTGTACAATTACCACGAATGTAAGCACTCTTTCGGCGCCTGCCAAAAAATCCTGTGTTCCTTCTTCTCTTCTCTTGTCATGGATTTGAACCGCCTCCAGTCAGCAATCGTCAATCTTAAGTCAATGAGCTTCCTCTCCAGCCCTGTACAACAATTCGCATGCATGGTACATACTTTCTCAAAATCCTGCGATACTTCACAAAATCCTCCGAAGTAGACAGTGTCAAGGAACTCCAGCTTGAGCCCCATCCTCGCAAAGGGCTTGGTGTTCTTAATGTCATTGAACACGTCCTGATCATGCTTTCCCGGATGTCTCAGGCGAGAGTCAAACCAAAACTTGTAGAAGTTCATTGTGCGTTCATTCGATCGAACAAAGACAAACCCTCCATTGGGAAGGTTCTTCACATCTGTCGGATTTCCATTAAAATGGTCACAGGCAATCTGAAAATCTGCATCCGGAGACAGATGAGGAAAGGGATCGCGGAACCACATGATGTCGGCATCCTGCAACCGCCCCCAAATAGCTGTCAGCAGCTCGTCCATGACTTCCACAGAAACTAACTGCTTTACCAAACTACATCATTCTCCTGATAAACTTCGGAGATAAGTGAATACACTTGGCGTCACTTATCTCCCATCTACAAGTGGGGGCCTCGATGTCTGCCAGTACGGCAGACAGTAAAAGAGTGTCAAAAGCAGCAGGACAGGAAGGGGCTAGTTCAACAATAGAGACGGTCTACGTGAAGCTACAACTATTTTCTCTCCACGAAGTAACTCGGCTAAAGAAAAACCTTGCACCTAAAAAGCATGTCAACAAATTTGGGCTGTTTAAAAACAGAAGGTGATATTCGTGCTCTCAGTGAGAAGGAAATAGCTAGGCTGAACGGGCAGACAGAAACCTAAATAACCCACATGGAGTCAACAGAAATGATGAACGATGTAAACAGATCCAGAGAAGGTTTTTTAAAACACATGATCGCTTACAGAAAACAGAATATTGTAGCCCAGTTCGAGAACGATTCTCAAGAAGTCAATTCTCCTCCACATCATCTTGAGATAATCACTACTCATGAAGAACTTCTCGGCAGCAAAGTCGACTCCTTCAGTTTCTAAGCGGTAGCAGTGGTGATGGATTGCTGTGCATCGGTCAAAAGCTGACTGATCCAGGGCAACGATCAGCAAGTGATCTACAAGATGTGCAATGTTGTCTCCCTCTTGAAAACTAGCGAGAAAAAGATCGATCATTGTGTTGTTCTTGGCCCACGCTGAATTCAATGTCGTAATGATTAGAGTCTTGTTAGGCATGGACGTCTCTATCAAAAGCTTTTCCAGACCAGGGAGCTCCTCAAATTTCTGCAAGGTAAGCAAAACTTTACTTTCAGTGCTCTTCCTGTCGCATATTTAGGGCACGAAAGTACGAGTTTTATGCTTATATTGTGCCTGGTAATCCTCTGTATCTAACCACTCGTGATTCAACAAAACGGCAAATCAATACCATAACTTTCTCCCAGGGCGAACCTGTATTATTTTATCAGATATAATTCTAGAAGTCTGATGTAGTTTGACGGAAAAAACCAGCTAGATAAGAGAGAGAACAAAGTGAGAAAGAAAAGGGCATCTGACAACTAAAATAACACAGCAGAGTATGAGCAGAAACATGGCGGCGAAATCAGTCTGGTACTATCAAATGTACCTACTGTAAACAAACTGAAATGATAATAGTTCGGAAAAAAGAATCCCAAGTCACAGATAGCAAAACCTCTACAACAACAGCACAAAACCAGCAATTGATGGTCCTTACCATCGGGGTAGGCGCTGGTGCTAGTGCCGATTTTTTTGCTCCATCGACATCACCTTTAGACTGGAAAGACTGGTCCACATCAAAGGGAATGTAAAATGGAATAAGAGAAGAAGAACATACATCGTTGAACGATGAAGAGAAATTCCACTAAAATATAAAAGCTACGCACTGCCACCAATATATGCACTATTTCTAATGTTACAGGCGAGAACAACATTCAACCAACAGAATGTCTACGGAAATAAGGGAGTTTCATAGGGAATCCTCTCTTCAAAATTTTACCGGAGACAGATGGCTGTGAACTTTTGATTCTCAATGACATACTTCCAACTACGAGACTATCAACTTACTAGCGTGTTGACCAAACAAGCTCGTGAAAACCTACTGAAACTGGACTATTGAAACGTTCTATCGTAAACCAACAATCACCTCCTAGCTTAGGCACTACAATCATGCGCGAAAAATCAACATCCCGCTTATACTCCTGATTGTTTCAGATCTCCTACTGCAGCCACAGTATCTATACCTCACTGAGTTATTCCATCTTCAATGCCTTTACAAACACAATATCACACCGAAACCAAGGAAACTACAAAGAGGACATTCATGCCTACTTTCCGGTCAAATCAAGAAGGTCCATCCGGTCCGTTCAACCATGCATTGAAAATATGTGAAGAAAATCATGATCAGACCTAGCTGCCACTACATATTTAACGTAGCTAACTAGAGTGTCTTGACGGACGAATTAATCAACTTGGGTGACCTTCTTGGAAGAAGCGTAAGCAACAAATCCTTGAACCACTTCAGTAAATGTCAGGTGAGAGGAACTCTATGATCGGAGTTCATGGACATCCTTCTGCAGTGATAAAGAGAATCATCCCCGCTGCCTGAATCTGCTTTACAGCCAGAATACAGCTTAAAAATAAGCTGACCTCCAGTGTTCTCTCGCAGCAGAGAGAATGCAAAACCGCAGGAAGATCTCCATGATAACACTATTCGATTCAAGCACTCCATGGTAAAGACCTTTTGACATCCTTCACCTCCTTGGTAAAGTCGTGTTGTTTCAAACTCGGTTGATCATCACCGAAAAATCCGAAAAGAAATACCCTTATGAGATGAACTCATATCCACTAGCTTTTCCTATCCAGGCCAGGAACGGAGGATATCGAAGATAACTTTAGTCTAAACAGCTTACATTCTGAGTTTCTACGTGTAAGGGTCTTCAACCTTGCAATGACTTCTGCTCTCTAAGCGTCCGCAAGGCCTACTCGAAGGCCTAGAGCGATGAAACCAGATCTTTTGGGATCGCTCAACAATACTTCACCTCAATTTAAATTCTGTGCGATTAATATTACGGTAATAATCGCATCCAGTGAGGGACTAAAATTGTACAAGTCGGCTAGAGGGAGAAAGAAGTCTTACATCCGTTACGTTTGCCTTTTGTAGATCTGTTTCCTTGTCACCACCAATCAGGCTCCCATCCTCGATCCCACTGTCAAGAGCATCACTACTCTTTTCGGCCGGCTTGAAGTTGATTTGATTCATCAAACCATGTAGAAACATGATGGTAGGCGTGTGCATTAGAAGAAAATACGGCAACGATATGAAGGCCGCACACAACGCAATTATGATCATGTCCCTCACTCTAAATTTATAGAACGCCATCTCCAATCCTGACTTTCTGTACGCAATTATCTCAGCCGGTTATCTCTGACGATGAGCGCCTTAGCTTCGTCCTTCAGTCCGGGCAGCGCAATCCTTAAACTGCAGTCCTTGTTATCCATTATTTCTTCACCTTTCGCGGTGTTTTCATGTATCAAAACTAACTGGGAAAGACATGGTCTAAGCATCCCCTACTTCCTCGACATCCGGAGTTTCCACGGGATGACCCGACTAGGCATTCTCATTAGGTCACAAACTCATGGATCCGAAATCTAGGACTCATTCCGAAGTTCCACTCGTATCCTCACCCTGTCAAAGGGGAGCAGAAAACCTGATCTATTCCTGTCAAAAATAAAAAAGAAGGATGCACCCGAGATGATGTATCCTCGCCCTCACTCTCCTATCCTCCTCCCTTGTCCGTCTCGATCAGACTACTGATTACCGGTCGACGATTCCTCGGAACTTCCTCCTTGAACTCCTCCGCTCCTTCTCCTCCTCCTCCTCCTCGTGTACTTGTATCTCTCTCTCTCTCTCTCTCTCTCTCTCTCTCTCTCTCTCTCTCTCTCTCTCTCTCTCTCTCTCTCTCTCTCTCTCTCTCTCTCTCTCTCTCTCTCTCTCTCTCTCTCTCTCTCTCTACACCACACTCACAGTGCCTGTTCTACAGCAGGCACTGTAATGGTGACACAACAAAAGGTAAATATCTACGGTGAACAATTCAGCGAATTCAGAAGGTGTCCAATTCAATCACCAGCTCTCACAGGCTCTTGGCTCTCCTGCCCTCAAAATCAGCGACAGGGCAGGCAGGTGCGCTCCGCTCCCATCCCCTCCCTACCACAACTTTTCACTGCTCAGACCTTCCCTTCTAGATCAAAACAAGCCCATGCCTGCAGCAAAAGCACCATCAACCCATGGCCTGATCTGAGATCTAAGCTGCTGCTGCTGCAACGTTCCCTGTTCATCCTGTCCAAGCCGGCTCGAGCACCATCCAGCCTCCTGAGATGCTGGACTTCTTCTTCCTCCTCGCGAGCACCACCAAAGCCACCATCATCACCAGCACTAGCAGAGTCGCCTGCTGTGCATTATTCGACTTTTCAGCTCCGCCCCCGGCCCTCACTTCCGCAGGCTCTCCCGCATGGTAGAGCACGCGGCATGTAACCAGCTCTGCCTACTGCCTCTCGGCGGACGCCTGCTGGACAGCTCCACCCTCGACCCCTTCTACGGTACGCGCGGTCAGACCCCGAGCAAGACCTGGTCCGACGGCCACTGACCTTCCCGGCCCGGCCCTGTCCCGAGGCCGACACCCAAACCAGCAGAACCGAACAGAGCCCAACCCGTACAAGTGGACAATTAGCCGCAACATACGGGCACTTCCCATGCCGCTCTATTGTTTGCTGTCGATGGAGAGAGATCGTGGACGCGCGAAACGAAGGCGAGGGGCTCGACTTCCGGATGCAAGCTTACATGTCGACTGGTCGAGTCCACTTCCCACGTATGTGAACGACTGGACTTTCAGTTTTTTTATTTTCAATACCGGATGATCTCGTGCATCCGATTACGTCCTACTCATGTGGACACTACATGTACGCACGCCTCTTGCCGTAGACCTGTATGAGCAGATAATGTGAGAAAAGCGCGACGCTTGGGATGACAAAGACCGATGTCAAAACCTTCCCCATCAGAATAACAAAGCTAAGTCAGAGTAAAATGATCAGGCACTTGTTAGTCGTGCATGGTAATTGGCACGAAACTCCTCGACTATTAGCCTCTGCAAGGCAATACTAAGATCTCATGCAAACTGGGGTGTGGAGCATGCGACCGTATCATGGTTGTGACGTGTTCCTTGTTTATGGTTGAGGACGCCCCAGGCAAGAAGAAGACGCAAGCCCCTAAACTGTACTACCCGAGTTCCCACCACCTTCGACTTGAATCCGTCAACGTCCTATCAGGACTTTTGATGAGCAGCAAGCAAGAAATGGAGGACGGTGTAAATGCTTTTCGACATGATTAAACCTCGATGTAGCTAGGTTTTTACAAATCCTACCGTAACTAGTACCAAACCTTACTTACGGCTGACATTGATTTCTTCCGCTTCAAGAAGAGCGGTTCTGAAATGGTAAAGTCATCAAGTTCGAAGGTGTTGACTGAGATATGGTACGCAAGATTGAGACTTCCTTTCTATGCTTTAAAACTTGATCTTTAAAGTATCTTGATATTACACAAGTTTGTGACGAGAGGTTACAAGCTAAAAGTTCCCTGTGCTTGTAGAATAATAAAATGAGATCTAATCGATCCTAAATCTCGATGAAAAATTTACCGCAAACAAACTTGAACATTTCAGGTTCAAGTAAGAAAATCGTGAATTTGTTGCTAGTAAAACTCATGTTTCAAGGATCAGGGATGAAATGAGGTAAATTTCACAAGAAGCCGATTGCATAATCTATTTTTCTCTAAGACCGAATTTTTCCTTTCTTCTTAGCTTTGAATACTACATAGCTAAACTACGAAGTGTTTTACGAGAATAACAGAATTTATAAAATTGTGGGAAGACACTAACCCTCACAATACATAGAAGAGGAAACCAAAGGAGTATATTCCGGCTATTTGCAGTAACAGTGAAATGAAACATATGTATGTCCCTAGTATACATCAATAAAATGATAATTGGAACGATACAGAAACGATTAACATGCCCTGCGCGCAAGGATGACACGCACAAATCGAGAAATATACTTTTACTTATTAAATATCCGAACTATGCATTTAAACGGAAGTGCGCAGACAAGAACATGACAAAGTTATTTTGATCAAAACGTCTTACATGATACATGAGCATCAGAAGCGCTATCACTGCTATAATATCCTAACAGTACGGAAGAGCACGAAAGTAGGGGCCACGCATGCGCATGACAATCAAGCAAAGCGCGCAAGAGGCGGAGTCTTGCCGGAATGGACGGGACGGGACCTTTTCGAAGACGAATGACGGGTGGGTCTTCATCTTCGTAAGTATAAGAGCACTTTCGATCATGGAGTGTGAAGCTGTTTAGCCAGATCCTTTAGCGCACAGTAGTTAATCGCGAGTCGCAGATTGTACGTGAAGTTGAGCAGTCAGTTGTCCTCGAAAACCCGCAGTGTGTTATCGTGATCAAGGTCACGGACGTACCTTCATGTGTCAGACTCTCGCACGTCCACTCGTAATAACTGTCCGTTCTTTGCACGGGTGTTCGCATTCCTCTATATCCAGGCCTCTGTACGTAGGGAACTTTCCGTACGTTATGTATTTCAACAAAATTAAAATTATCATCAAAAAATACGTAACATACATACTTTAGTACAAAACTCTCTTTTTTTATTCAAAAATGTTTGAATCTGAATAAAAATAAATATACATGGGTGTTCTCTTGTATATGTGAAGATAACTTTTCCATCTCAGAGAATTGAAAAATAGCTTTCCAACGTGACCGTGTTTGCAAATGTACATGCTTATACTACAAAGAATTCCACGAGTACATCCAATGCTTGGAATAGTCCAAGCTTCACTAAAATCATCTAACATTTGTCTGTCAAATGATTTAACGCATGGCCAAGTTTATGTTGATGGTGCACAAAGATCAACAACGGCTTGTGTTCGTCCACTATTTGATCAATATAATTTTGTTGCCAAGAAAAAAAACTATCTTGGTATTTCAGAACCATATCACATTTTTTTCAAAGCTGCAAATTCATGAGGTAAAATAGGAGTCAAGATGTTGAACCTCAACCTTGGTTAGATTTCAAACTTTTTCCAAAACATGCAGAACTTCAAGCCAATCCAACCAATCAATTTTAACAAATTTGTTGGAGGATTGGGGGTCACGACTTGCAGTGAACTGTAACAAGTGTTTATGTTGGAAGGGGTTTTCGAGACCTACAACGTAAATGGTCACTTTGTAGCGGGTTCGGTGGAATCCATCGGTTTTCAGGCAACAAATTACCAAAATTGAGATTAAATTGAATAACAGTGCGAGCGCTTTTTTAACCTAAACATTTTAAGAGCTTTTAACATTCTGAAACGGTGCGAAGGAACTAGAATGTTGAATTTTTTTCTCTCTCTAGTTACGCCACATAGAAAAAAATTATTATTTTTTGAAATACTGAACTTATTGAAATTAAAATATGGAACTCCATTGACGGAGTTCCGTATTTTCAGAGGCCTGTTTATATGTCATGACTTCACAGGCAAGCCTCTCTATATAAAGAACTTTAGGTATGTTTCGTATTTCAACAAAATAATCATTATTATCAAAATTGAATACGAAACGTATGGATTTTAGAACAAAAAATTCATTTTTTTATAATATTTCAATTTGAGTACACTTTTGAGAGATATGAGTGTTCTTTTCTATATGGGAAGATAAAATCTCCATTTCAGCATTGAAAAATCACTTTCTAAGGTGTAAGTGGTTGGAAATGGACATGCTAATTTTACAAAGAGCTTGGAATAGTCCAAGCTTCACTAAAATGAGATAAGATTTGTCTGTCAAACGATTCAAGGCATGGCGAAGTAGATGTTCCTAGTGTATAAAGACCAAAAGTTGCTTGTGATCATACACTATTTGGTCAGTGTAGTTTTGTTACCAAGAAACTTCCAAACCATCTTGATATTTCAAAATTACATCCCATTGATTGCAAAGAAATGAGTCAAAATGTCAGAACTCGCCCAGTTGAACCTCAACCTTGCTTAGATTCCAAAGTGCTTCCAAAACATGCTTAAGTACAAGCCAATCCATCCAATCAAATTTAACGAGTTTATCTGAGGATTGAGGATCACGACTTGCACTGCATTGTAACAAGTGTTTAGGTTGAAACAGAGTTTTGAGACTTAAACTTTGGATGGTCACTTTGTAACGGGTTCAGAGGAATCCATCGGACTTCAGGCAGCAAATTACCAAAATTGTAGTTAAATTAAATAATGGTGAGAGTTACGTTTTAGCCGAAACAACTAATCAAGAGCTTTTAACAACCGGAAACGATGGGACAGAACTAAAATGTTGAACGTTTATCACTCTCTAGTTACGGTCGTAGATGCAAAAAATAATTTATATTTTCGAAATACAGAACTTCTTGAATACCAAAAAAGGAACACCATTGTCGGATTTCCGGATTTAGAGAGGCCTGCACATCGGCCTCATAGGCATCTTAGAACGGGAACCCAGATGTACAGCCAATTGTCATAGGCATCAAGACATTCTAAGCATCTTCCTAGATATAACTATCCTATGGCCCCTCCTCTCCTGGAATGTATGACACGATGTGCTGCTTCGTTCCGAGTTCGTTCCGTCCAATTTTTACACTCTACAACGAAGCTGATTCGTGAAAACTTTGGAAATACTAGAAATTCAGCGACCAATTTCAGTGAGAAATATTCAATCTTCCAAAATAAGGAGTCGTGAACTTCGGACCTGTGTTGACAGTCAAACCTCGAGTATCGTCAAAGAAGGTACACTCGAAAAGTCAAGGATGGGTACTATATTTAGCGTGAAAAGTAAAGCACGTCAAGTCTCGGACACGCACTATATTTAGGCTTTTAGTCCAAGCCGAAGGTTTGAGCGAAAAATTCAGGATGTAGGAACCATATTATGAACAGAAGCGGTCACTATCGCGAAATGGGGCTAACTGGATGGAACAAAAGTGCAATTGTGGGAAATTATCGAAAGTACAACGTACGCTCGTTACAAGTATGTGAATTGGTCTAAACACTTCGGGATGACACTGCGGTAAATTATCGTTTGTCGATCTCCACTAAGAAGCAAATTATCATTTCAGGTGCATAAGAGCAATTTTCACACTCAAAATCGAGGAAATAAGATGTCCGTACTGTGCTATGAAACCTATCACCACAGTGAGAGTTCGGGCATGCAATTGCGAGAGTATTTGTTCGAGAGTACACATTATAATAAACGAAGAGAATACCCAATTAAACATATTTCTTGGATGTCACATCTAGATGATTTGAATACAATTGACAAAAAATAGTTCGGCACTTTTCTAAGCGGTACATAGAAGGAATAATAGTTAGGGTTCTAAATATAACATCATGGGATGTGTTCTCCTGTCGAACAAATGGTGACAAATCAGGCCCAGGAGAACTCTTGCGTTGTCCACAGAGACTGTTCTGATGGGAACTTAGGGGAATAGAGTACAACATTCCTTGCAGTGTCGTTCATAGCGAAGATTATTTTTGCTGATGAGTACTCGGGACCTTGCATACTTGCTGGATAGCAGCAGAGAGTTAGGTTCTAGAAGTTCGTCCCACGGTCGTGTCCACTGTGAAGTTAAATGAGCGTTGGACTAGGGTTTGCGTGGAAGTGGCATCACACCTGGAACGCATGAATGCCTTCTGTTTCTTCTAGGCCTACTTGTGGACTTTGCCCAACTGCAAGTCTGCGGAACGACGAGGAACAAAATGGGTTGGTTGGGATTCGGGAACAACAAGAGTTCCACTGCTGGAAAACAGAAGAAGGAGGACACTGACGCTAGTCTTGGGCTGGAAAAAGAGCAATTGAAAGATGGAAAATCTGAAGGTGTGGAAACGGCTTCGGCGTCCACGGTAGTACGGCAGGCTCCCGCATCTGCCCCACTACCTCCTCAAACTCAGACCAGTGTTTTCGAATTCGGGTCAGCTGGTAACATCGAAGATCGGGTCACTCTGGCAGGTTATTGCTCTGTCTCGGACGAACTGGAGCCTTGTCAGTGGGAAATCCTGCCTTCTGGAGGTGTTGAGGCACCGCTCTTTCGGATCATTTTTTAGTCGACTTCTCGAATGATAACCTGAAGGCTTCTCTTTGGATTGGAGCGTTGGGGTGTTATATGCAGTTATCGCATTGTCATGAGCCTGCCGATTCTCCGCCCAGTTTTCCTGCCTGCCCGCTGAACCTTCGACCTTTGACGTGAATGACATTTCTGTCACATTGTTTTGGTATAGAGGCCGTATTTATCAAGCCACCGAACTCCTAATTTCAGGGAAGCCTCGATCGACCCTCTCCTATCCAAACTCACTGTAGTAATCTTTACAAGCTTTCACAGAATACGTACAATGGCAAGAATCACATGCTGATTCGTGGAAATGTTTATTCAGTTGAGCCGTGCATGAGTTTTTGTAATCCATGGTGGTTTTTGCTGAATTTTGAGATGACACCCATTTTTTAACGGCAATATGGATGAAGTACAGATTGACCACTGGCGGCTCTAGATAATTGTCGTCTGCTAATCTTATAGCAGTGTTAGAAGGTTGAAATCTCATCGTAGGGATTGGATTTTGTGTTAGAGCCTACATGGCCAAGGGCTGTGTACTTGCCTGGCGTGGGCAGTTTAGGTTCGTCTACCTGAGTTATGCCTCTAGCTCCGTCTCCAACTTCGATACAGATCCTTTTCAAGCCTTGTGCGAAGAGTTGATCACATGCTTGGTGAGTTTTGAATGAAAGCTGCTTTCGAGCACTATTAGTATGATATGCTGGGTACAGTCGTTACAAAATTGGCTGTTCATGTATTCTGATGTTGAATGGAGACACGTAGTTGTATCAATAGTATAGAAGTTGAAGGAGCATCTGCCTTTTGGGCCAAGTAGACACAAAGTGGGCAGAACCATATCGCGAAGTGCTCTTCCGCATTTCCATCGTCTTGCGAATCCACAAACGGTGGATCTTCTAGAACTTAGTCTGACTACATCCCGTTCTGAACAAAGCGTTGACTTCTTCCGAGATTCAGAGCTTTCGTCAAATTATTGCGTTAGTTTTAATTCACTCTGTCGAAATTCGAGTACATACACAACGTCTTCAAATGACACAATTACACCTTGCGGAGAATTTGCCAGAGTCCCCGTTGTTGGGATAGTAACACGTTCGATAAGGTCAATCATGAGCTACCATGGCAGCAAGAGCAAGAACATGTGTAAGAAGGTCGTAAAGTAACAGGTACATACTACTGCAAGTGTGAAAAGTGGATAGTCTCAAAGACACCTCTCCCGTTCTAGGTTGTGTGGTACAGATCCGCTTACAGCCTAGAAAAGTAGAGCATCAAGGAAAACACTGTGTAACATTCGCTCTTCCAAATGTCGTTTCATATGGCCAGTACAAGTTCGCAACAGATTGTACAAATTCTTGAACAGATTCGCAACCGGAATATCCTTCGGTGCAAACTTATATGTATGCATCTCGAGTTATGTTATAGCGTTATAAGACTTCCGCACAGATACGCATCTATTCAGACTTTGAGTCTTTCACTTTGGTAAAGAGAAAGTGAATTAAAGAATTAAGCTCTAAGAATTGCTTAAATTGAAAATTGTACAATGGGAAGTCTATTATTGGACCACAAGCATGTAAGAAATTCTTAACAAAGCCGGAGTACATATGTTTCAACGAGATTGCGAAGGACAGACTCTTCCACTCAGATGGCATCTTACGTTCATATGAGCCAAACATATAGTTTGCTTCCCAGCTTTAAAAGAATATGTTACATAGCGGACAGGGTATTCAAAGTTCCTCTCGGCTGCGCTTTTGAGGACCTAATATCCTTGGTTTCCTCCAAATAACAATTCTAGTTGTAGCTTCAACAGTGACTTGATAAGACTCTCACACACCGTGTACAATGATTGGCTGTAGTTCGTTCATACTCGGGACTTGCTTCCAAGAACTTCCGTGTTTGTCATTGGTACGGGAGGCATTTGTACAATGGTGACAGGTGCCGCAAGTCTGGGCTGAGCTGCAGGAATAACGCAAGACGCCTCCACTTTGTCGTCAATGTAACACCGAAGTAAGGACATAAACAACTTATCTCCTGTACGAAAATTCTTCAAAACATATGCGTTTATGGCGTCGATCTTAGGAGGTTGATCACGTGAAATGGCATTTCTGAGAATTCGGCAATTTCGAGTGAACTGGCGAACGAGCGCTCCAACTGCCGATCCAAGGACAGGGCACATGAGTGTTATGTAGCCAGACCAAGTAAATGATTGTTGATACATAATCAATAGAGACTTGGTGCACAGGAACGAAGGAAGATTCACAGTAGACTTTGTAGTACCATGTGATAAGTGTACAGTAAGACGTGCTCTGAGATAATTAGCGTTCAAATCTTGACCACCTTGTGAACGTCGAGGATGATGAGTATCCCAGATTTCACCATTTGTGTGTAGCAAACCTTCAGAAGGTAGCAGCCTGATGATGTTAAGACGTAGATATGATTAAAAAGAATCCCTGTTACTCGTAACTTGCTCAAGCCTGCTCAAAGAAACCGGTCTTTTGTTACAGGAGATTATCACATTGATTATCACCTCGTCATCATCAAGGTGATATTTTTCAAATTTCGCTAAGACTGGTTGCAAAAGAGATAAACATATTTCTTCAGTCCCGAGGTGGGACCTGGGAGGTCACCAAAAGTTTCGTACTTGACTCTTGCGCTCTGCCTTAGCTTTCGCCGTTGACTCGAATGCATCAATCCAAATCAGCAGTCTGCACATAAAGCTGTTTAGCTGAAAATTAGTGGACACATTTCGCAACGCATTTCGGGTGAAGACAATGCCAAGGTCAAGCAGCCCAAGTTGCCGCGTTTTGAGAAATGGCTCTTGAACCTGTTTATAAAAGGATCATGATTTTCTTTACTGGCTCCAGGAGGTTGGCTTCGAAGTGGGGGTCTCAAACTCAGCTGCTTGTGAGCAAGAGCGTCGAATAAGCCATCATATCTTCTTGATGCACCAGAAACACATCGTTCATTTCTATATTGTTGTACTAATAAGTTTAACAAGGACGTGTAAACGCATGCCTTACTTTGGTGGGCTAACTTCCTGGTCTAGGTGTATTTTTGGCCCACTCATTTTATGTCCAATGGCAATTGCACTTGGCCTGTCCAGCCATGCTAAACACATGGCCGCCGTCCAGGAGAAGAGCTCACCACCAGCCCCGTCACCGGTCTGTGGGTCGAAGTATTCTCTCAGGCCAGCGTTACTGGTCAAGGCTACGGAATCGTCGTATATCCTCTGAGCGAGGTCATCGTACCTACTCACCAGGAAAATGAGAAGATTTCAATAATGGAAAAACGAAAATATCCACCAAGAAGAAACTATCAAAGATAACTTTACGTGCTGGAGATTTTGGATCTTGAAATGAGCGAAATTTCTGCCAACACTACAGAAATGTGTGACATTCCGTACCCGTAATGTCGCAGACCGTTGAATATCATCCAGTTGATGATAATCCAAACCGGTCCTCGCCAGTATCGTAGGGGTTCAAAGCGAGGATCTCTTGGGTCGGTACTGGGCACTCCAAAAGGTACCTTATCTAGCCATTGCTTCAAGTTTTCAGCCAGCTTGGCAGCTTGTTCCTTCGACGCAACACCTGGACAAGACAGCCACAAACTTTTAAACTTCTGGATTTCTATCATCGGTCTAACCGGACAAATCTTCAGGAGTTCTGAGTCAGAAGATCTTTTGTTCAATTTAGATTCAGGAGATGCAGTGCAGAAAGAAAACATTTCATTGCATTAAGAAGAGCATGTTTCATCGCAAGAATCTTGGTGCACTCACAATCCGTGAATCTAGTTTTACAACAACGTTGTTAACTGCTAATAATAATAACAGAATTCTTATATACCTGCAAACAGTGGGAGAAAGGCCGCCGAAGTTGCAGCATCATCGAGCTTTCCAGTAAGCTGATCTTGACATTTAAAGAGACCAGCATCTTCATCCCACAGCTGTTTGAACCCCTCAAAGCCTCTTTCAAGCCACTCGTCTATCTCCGCAACAACGTCAGTTTTTCCTAGTTTTATGGCGAGCCATCTCAAATCTCGATTGGCACGGAAAAGGATGCTGTTGGTGCAAAGATCTGTCATTCGAAAGGGAGAGACCCAATATAACTTGTTCGAATCATAATAGTTTTCAGCTTTGAACCTATCGGCATCATCACAACGGTAAGCATTAGATATTTCTTTTTCACTTTCTCGCACAGCATAAAAGGTTTACTGAGTATAAGATGAGTCCAAGACATAACATTGGGAGTCCGAGTTCATCAGGCCATTTGAAGAATCACAACCCTCACGTTAGCAGTATGATCCTTCAGTAACAAATGGACGAAAATAAACAACGAGAAAGTTATAAAATGTTGACGTTTAACCTGTACAAAAGAGTGAGATAATGGTCGTATGTCTCTTTCGTCGGCCGCATGCAAGCATTTACATGCTGCAAGTCCTTCCGTTCGTATGGAGGAAGGTTGTCTACTGGAAATTGCAAAGCTGCATCCCATGCTGGACTATTATCCATCCCTGATTCCCATGGATGTAAAATAGCGACAATTCCTTTCTTCTCAGGATCTCTAGCCTGTGGATCATACATACGACCAAGCTTTTTACAAGATGGATTGAGCAGAATAGAGTCAGGATCAATTGAACTTGTTTCTTGTGAAAGATGTCAGAGAACTTTGGTATAAGTTGCATGTGTGAAGTCTCCGACTGTTGATCTTATACTATTGCTGTTCTCATGTTTTGATCTCTTATATTCCTGACTCCAGCTGCTGCTGATGCGCAGCATTAGCATTATCCTGCGTTCTGCGTGAGGACCGTATATACATGACTGTAATCTTTCTCAAATGCAGTTATTTGACCCTTTATTGATGTTCTGGAATTTACTGAAGAGTTCATGCAGTGCTGGAGCGTCGTTAAACCTTAGAACCCCCATGCTCTGAAGTTAAGTTCTGGTAATATATAAATTCCATTTAGATGCAAGGACCACATAAGCATCAACTTCTTTCTGAGTAGCAAAAATTTCGCATAATTACCTTGTACCACCAGCGATGGGAGGCCAGTAGTTTGGGAAAAAGATCTGCCATTTGCTCTTCCGCAAGCTCCGCATGTTCTGTGTGCTCGAACAAGAAGCGTGCAGACACCGAAGCTACTGGAGGCTGTGTGATACCAGTGCTTTCACTTGGAGCCGCAGGACTGCCCCAGATTTCTGGACCTGGAAAATACGATGTTGATGGTCTGTGGAAGATGATAGATGGGACCATTCCATCTTCCCACTGCCCCGAAAAAAGCTTCTCAAATTCTTCCCATGCTCTTGCCTCGTCAAACACAGCCCATCCAGCAGCCACAATTGCCGAGTCCCAGTTCCACTGCAAGTTTCCAATGTATAATTTGGTGAACGATACTTGACACCCGTTAGAATCTTAGTGTACAATTCATCAAAAGAGCTTATCAAAAATTGTAAAAGCAGAACGCCGATATAATGTATATAAAAAGCATGATGACAGTGATATCACTAAGGACAGTCTGTACCTGGAATGGATAAAGGTTGTGAGCAGGAATTGTATAACCACCATAGTCGTTTCGTCGTAAGCATTCTATGGACTCTTCGACGATAGGCAGTCTTGCACTCCCTTCCAAGTCTTCTTCAGGTTCTCTACAGGTGCCACAATTAACCTCTTGTATAGCTTTCTATCTTCTTGTTCAACAGCTTCATGCAAAAAGTGTCGAGTTTGGGGCCGGGGATGATATCATAAGGAGCACACAACCAAATAAAGATCCTTGATGAGGCCTGTGGACGAAGATCACTATGATAAATCAACATTATAGTTTCTCCATTTTCTCCGTCGCCTCAAGAAAGGATGAGGATGCACATGAAATTAGTATACTTCCTGAGCAAGAGTAAATCTGTATGTAGGCCCTCGAAAGGACAAATTTTCAGTTATGCTAGAAGATTAATATCACAATTTAGAATAATAGTTTGGTTTCACCTCTTGCGTTATTTTGACATATTTGTGTGTACAGAAGTGGGCGTTCTAGGTTCCGAGAAGTAAAAATGAGGACAAGATAGCTCTGAAGGAGGCCCGTCAATGAGATTATTGGACAAAATTTGTCTCTTGAAAAAAAATAAAAATTTGGAATATTATTACAACCTCTCATGGTCCTCATCTGGATTCCAGTGAACTTCAAATCATTTACTCCTTCCAAACCAGGCTGATGTAAAGTGCCAAGATACTCTGCCAGATAGATATGCAAGCATTCAGACTTGGACTACAACAATATTAACGGCATATTTGCATCACCGAAATAGGGAGTTCGGAAGTTATTGCATGCTTCAGTGGTATATTCAGAATTGCAGAAAAACTCACGTATTGCCACTTTAGCTACTCCCCTTGCACACAACACAAGCAGATGCCATTTTTAGCAGATGATATGAACATTAGCTTCTTGAGGACGATAGACGCTTTCTGAAGGCCCGTATCCTCACACTCAAGGAGAAGATGGAGAAAAAATCAGTGCACTTCTTCAGGTGTATCAGTTTTGCAGATTCAGAAAATGTGTACAAAAACCTTCGAAAACAAATACGTTGTTGAAAAAAAAAACGACGTGAGGGGATGTAATCAATCAGTCGTGTACAAACACGTTCCATCTCCTCTGCCTCGTGTGTGGTATTTTCTCCAAGAATGATAAAAAGTGGCCTCAAAGGCAAAAACATCGATTACCAAGTTCACAATTTCAGGTGGAGTTGCACAACCCACCAATCTTAGTAGGATCTTAGTCAAAATTACAGTGGATTGTTCACATCATCTACACGTTTTTATGCAAGAACAATTTCCACTGCGGTGAGCTCCTTATAAATGCAGGCCATGTATATGCTGCTTTACAACAATTCATGCTGCGTAAGAATGAGAAAAGACGAGAAAAATAGAGAAAATTGGATGTTGATAACTAGAGTACAGATTCTCCTACTGAGCGACTGACGAGTATTGAAACGATGGTGGATCACTTGGTTGGGAAGGTCAAAAGACGAACCTCATGGAAAAGAGCCGGCGCAAACTCTTTGCTCTCCAGTATGCGCGGTCCTTAGGCGTGGAGTTCAGATTCTCCACGGATGTCGATCTAAAGACTCTAACCGGCGGAAGAATAGACTTTGCTTCTAAAGCAGGACAGGAAGCTAAAGAAACGGTCGTTGGGATAGGACCAACTAAACCTCCGGAGGAAGGGGCATCGTTTCCAGCCATTATACTTACTACCAGATCAACAATCCAGCCAAAAACGTAGTGAATTTCACTGATCTCGAAGTTCTTGACCGATGGTGTAACTGAACGGGATATGTCGGGATATGTCGAACAGTCTTTCAGTCAGCACTTGAAAGTACATGGATCAATTCAACACAGAGACTGACTCATCTACATGCCTTCTTTACCACCCCCGTCTCTCTTCTTTGTAACGATTCAAACTGCTATCAGTGAGCTGTTCGTGTCGTGTATAAAACTACCTCTGCATTAAGAAGGTAAGAAGTACATGAATTAGCCGCAGAACAAAGACTAAGGCGACCATCAAACTCAAACTCGATGCACAGTCTACAAGAATTGTTAATTTCTTTGTACATTCTATCCTCTGTTTCCACTCTGCAATCTCTGCCTACAAAAATTTCATCTCTACGGCGCGACTTTTAACATGAAGCTATCAGAACATCCATCAGGATACGCTGTTATCTTTGACCAGATTCAAATGGCGAAAATTTCTTTCAACCTCCGTTCAAAGCCTTTAATATCCCAGAAACACACGGATGTTTAGATGATGTCACGAGAAACGGCAGCAGGTAAAATGTACAGCAGATCGTGGAGAAATTGCATGGGCGCTGCACTTACTGTCCTTGACTCTCGGGCGTCTCCCTTTCCTTGCACATCGAAACACCTGCCAGGTGTTTGGATTTCAATAAACGAGATCCAGCAGCGTGCCATCCTCGCTCGTTGCTACAGCCGCGGCCACTGAATCCAGTAGGAATCAATCGTTAATCGAATAGAACACCAAATCGTGAAAATCAGCTGCAAAATTCTTGCAGCGTTCCGCACACCGTGCCAGTACTACGCTCCAGCACGAGACGCCGGTGCCATTAGTCTTACTTGGGTCCATCCTCGCCGTCACATATTCCCATCCCACGACTACGGTCGCCTAGGTGTTGGTCCATGTGGCCCCGAAGTGGCAGCGCTCGTCTCCTCCTAAGTAGCGGGGCCTGTAGAACGACGCCCCCTTCAGCCCAAGCGTCCGCAGTGGCTTGCAAAAGCTCGTCTCTGTTGGCCCGCCGCTAAAAGAGCGTAGCCTAGAAGTGCCACGAAGCCTACCCAAAGTGTTTTGACGTGCAGAGTTGTACGAACCTCGAAATCATCAGCAAACGAACAGCTCTTCCTGCGCTCGCTCTGCTTGCATGACGGAACTGTCTGGTGTCTACACCACTGTTCTGGGCCTTTTTGCCCTCTTCGCAGGAGATGCCATGGATGCATCCCGGTGCCCGCTTCCCTATTCCCTACACGATCTGCGCCTGTGTACTCGACCCTCATCATCGGATATTCCCCTCTCTCTCTCTCTGTATTCATGCTTCCATTATTGATCCACTTACTCGCGTGCCTAAGATTTGTCTTCTGTTAGTACTGAATACTGGCGGTACTTAGTACAGGTACAACCAATAAGTATCTGTTGAAGAGAAAGCCTCTCCAATTGATATGAACTTGCAGTGTAAACCTAAGCATATGACTTTTTACTGCCATCTTCCAAAAGCTCTGAAGAGAGATAGGAAACCTGGGGTTGGGTTTAGACTCTCATCGTACTTCAATCTACCTTCAGGTGTGAGTCCAACCGAGGGCCAAGATACGGTGTTCAGGAATTCAGCCGGTCTGCTGCAAGACAATAATAGCTGTGATAATGACTTTTCGATTTTCTCGTACCGAGTAAGTGGACTTGAGACAATCTTGGAACAGAAAAAACATCACAAGAACTGAATAAAAGTAATCTCAGAAGCTGAAAAAATATAGAAATATCTACGTTGAGTCAGATGAGAAGTGTGGAGAGGTGTTGAAAGGGGGAGTCTTGAACGAGATTAATCATAACGGTCAGGATCCAAAACACCTGCCGGAGGGAGAGCTGGCTGGAAACGTAGACTCGTGTTCCACCAGAATAGGACAAGGAATGTAGTGAGATAAGTGATTTGTCGAGCAAACCGTCCATTCACGTGTTATATGATTAGATATTTCAACATTTCACGACCAGCATGTCACTTTGTCTTTTTAAATGAGTTTGACGATACTTTTTCGCTTCTAGTGGTCAACATGGAGATCTGATAAGAGTATTTTAATGCTGCTTCACGTGACATCTCCCTCACTTTGTTGTTTCTGACAGTAAGAAAACTCATCCACGCGTAAACTTACACTCCTAGGGCTGATTGTATCCAGCAAATTACCAATACTTCAACAAACATACATGCAAAAGCAATGTCTTCGCTAGCCACGTTCATGATTATCGAATCCAGGGTAGCAGCAAGTAGTTAGATAGCCAGCAACCATTAACCAGGTAAGGGAAGGTAAGGTCGGCAGGAGATGACAACGACCCCAGCAGTCGGAGTTGATTGTTAGGTGTTGATTGCAGAATTTTTGTTGAGGTACTTTACAAATATCACCTTCCATCTTTTACTACGTAAAAGCTCTACCAAAGCTTTTTTGAGTTTGCACTAGACGATTGCAACACGTGTCGCGTCTGCCCATTTGATCTTTATCGCAATCCTTGAGTATCTTCGAGATTTGAATGGACAAGTGTGTCACAACTTCGTTAGATCCAGCACCATATTTAGAATATTATTTATCTCACTCTACGACCTCCAATTATCAACCTTTCATATCCTACTTGTCTTATCATCTCAAACTGAACTGTAAGTTAACACTTCTCGTGCTGTCTGGTATGATTGCGTCTCAATCTTTCAAGCAAGAGTAATTAGAATACCTATTTGAAAACAGTATCATTGTATGTGACAATGAACAAACTCAGAATTATGTGTCTACATTGAGAAATAGAGAAAGTGGATATTAATTAGATTATAGCCTGCAGTTGCTTGGGCGAGAGAGATGAACACAACTATGATAACTGATGTTTACTCTTCATCCCCACTACCGCACGTTGGAGAAGATTAAGTTTTTCACTCAACAAGATAGCTACTTACTTACTGACTAGTTTCCTTGGCCTCGATTTGGATGCTACTTTTGCTCTTCTGATTTTTAATTGTTCCATATCTAACTTCAATTGTTCTAAAAATCGCGATCTTTTTCAGGTTTTCTTTTGTCTTTTCCATCCCCTATTACATATAGTCAATAATCAATAAAATGACTTTTTCAATTTTTCCATTATGTTAAATGGAAACGGAAAAAAATTTCATTCAAAGTTTTTAATTTTATATCTCAAAGAGATATTGGGACCAAAGTGAAATTTAAAGAAAGGACGAAAGATTTTATCAAGACTTTAAAATTCTGAAATCCAATAGTTCATAAGCAATGTTCAAATAAATTCATGATAATAAATATGTATTACGACAACTAAAAATATCCAAAGTATACAAATCGAAAAGTCAAAAAAAAACATCAACATGCATGATTTTGGATCACTTTGAGTGATTGCTCTTCAATATTAGCACTAAAAGTGATATTCATACAACAATGAAAACTTTTAAAATAAAATAAAATTCACTATAGTTAATAAAAATAGATAGTCATGCTGCCTGGTGTTGGAAGTTTTTTTAGTCCATATCACATCTTTTAGAATTGATTTACAAGATCGAGATTCACCTCTTAAGTCTTATTGCATTGAATTTAAAAAAATAATAAAGCTGGATATATATATTTATAAGCACGAGGGTTCAAACAAGATTATTAATATAAAGAAAATATGTAGAGAAATTGATTGCAGATTTTGATAGTCAACCAAATATTTCTAAATCTTTGGATTTTATAAATCAATTTTGGTGTTTGCATTAAAAAATATATAAACTGATTTACATGAAAGTTGGAAATTTTTTTTAATTGAATTGATCCTATCCTATATAAATTATTGTTAAATGCATGTTAAAAATAAAAAAAATTAGACTTTTGTTTTATACAATGCGTATTTTTAGATTATAATTTTTTCTATCATTAAAATCTAGTGAAAATAAAATTGAAACTATCTTCATATATAATCATATATATAATAAATAAAATATTTTTATATAATTTCAGTAATATTGAATACTATTCGACTTTATTTTTGTATTGATATGATTTGTTGAAACTTGTATACTTACTTCAATCTTACATACACGACAATATTTATAGCTAAACTGTTAAAATGCTACAATCTAATATTTTTTACAAATCACTAGTATGCAAATTTTGAATCAAGTCATACAGGGATCAAAATGAAGTCATATGACATGACTATATATCAATATAAATCAAATTCATAAGTATGTTGTATCACGCACTATCTAGGTCACATCATGTATAAATCTAATTTCATAAACATTAATGAGATTAATATTATATGAGATGTAAAAATATATGGTTTTTTGTAAAAAAATGATTTATATTGACTAAAAAATTGTCACCCCAGGATAAAACAAAATATGCTTCATTTTGCAAATTCATACTTCACATATTATTTTTGGTCATTGAATTTGTTGTAAATTACATATAATAATAAAATATTCTATGTAGCAAATGATTCAGTGGTGACTTTCATTTTCTTACAACCTCAATGATAAATTAACAAAGTTAAACTTTTTGTAATGTTTAGTATATGTTCCTCAACACATCACCTTAATTCGATTTCCCTTTAGAACAAAAGCATCATAACTTCGTCAACAATTCCATAATTGCAAAAATGCAACAATTCAATTAGTAAAATCTCATGATTTGTGCTAATCGAGATTCTAATATAAAGAGTATTCTTTGAGAAGGATGTTAATAACATTTTACAATAAATATCTGTACAATATTAGTCAAATATACGCACAAACGGTAAGTCCCATGTTAGCATCTTCATGGTAAGATGCAGGGAAATCAAATTCTCACGCTGTACTTCAACAAGGTTCTAAAAACTATTTCCTTCCAATAGCGTTACACATTTTTTTTCCTTAATATTCTACAACATGTTTCAACACAACTCACATAAATTTTATACCTATCAATTGCTATATATTTATCAAACCTAAACATCAGCTTTATTTCCAAAATGATTATTCTCTGTCGAGTGACGGATCAATCCTCTGTCGCAATTTAAAATATCTATTGCTGGAGTGAGCAATTACATACATATAAGAATTGCATATGGACACTTTTTGTCTCAGAAATCGAAAATATTATTGTTTATTTCTGCATTCAATAGAAGTATCTGCACAAGCTCTAAGACAAGGTCTTGCACTGATTTGTAGCTGAATTACTAGTGCAGCAATATGGATGCAAACTGTAAGTTCTATGCTTGCATATTTATGACAATTTGAAGTTTATTCATAAACTCAAACTCGTTTTCAAAAGGTTGTTGAAGCCTAAACAACTTGAAAAAATGAAACCGCATCCAAGTAGTAGAAAAAAAAGATGGGAACTATCTTTTTAGTTGTGAATTTTGATAGGATAGCGATATAAATATGTTGCAAGATTATCAATAGTAAATCATGCATTGAAATATATGAAACTCAATGTAAATTACAGTACCATGGATTCAGTAAAACGAAGATGAATGTTAATGGGATGAAACTAAAGAAAACCAAAATTGTTAAGTTCACTATGAATTACATCATGAAGATATGATAAACTTGGAATATTTATAAGATTACATGTACACATGTAATTATTACTTCATAATTTTCAAAGTTTGATGTGTATCTTATTTTCATCATGATATCATATAATATAGTTGAATCTTGCGATATGATTCATCATTTAAGCACTTAAATTTGTTTGAAGTATTTTATTATCTCAATTGTTATTTACATCATAGTAAGTTTGCATTCAGATTCTAAATTTTGTTGATGTTCATGCTAAACACATATATTATTTTTAGTTATCATACTATTGTTAGTATCAACTCAAGTTTGAATTACCTTTTGTTAACTTAACGTTTAGAATTCTTCTAGTTAGTTAAAAATTTAGTTGTTGATCAATAAAGAGGGCAAGCCATAGTTATCCTCGAATATTTTTATATTTCATTATGAAATAACTTATGGTTCCCATGGATGTAGTCTGCCAGTTGGCGAACAATGTGTCGTACTGCGTTGTTGCTATCTTGCATCTAAGTTCTTTAGATTTTGTGGATTTTTTGTTTTTTGTTCCAACGAAAACTTCAATTTATATCATTGTGAACAAATATATTCAAAAATGACATGATAATCAACCTTGACAAATTATTGTTTTAATCTTAATATGTTTCATGTTTTATTTTGACCTAATAATGTGCATGTTGTTTTCATCATTTAGAATGAAAACTCATACAATTTAAATGCATTTATTAAAACAAATTAT